TGAGCCCACTCCCTTGGCTGAGAAGCAACCCCCCACATGAATGGTCTCAGGATGCTTTACTGTCGGCATGACACAGGACTGATGGTAGCGCTCACCTTGTCTTCTCCGGACAAGGTGTTTTCCGGATGCCCCAAACAATCGGAAAGGGGATTCATTAGAGAAAATGACTTTACCCCAGTCCTCAGCAGTCCAATCCCTGTACCTTTTGCAGAATATCAGTCTGTCCCTGATGTTTTTCCTGGAGAAAAGTGGCTTCTTTGCTGCCCTTCTTGACACCAGGCCATCCTCCAAAAGTCTTCGCCTCACTGTGCGTGCAGATGCACTCGCACCTGCCTGCTGCCATTCCTGAGCAAGCTCTGCACTGGTGGTGCCCCGATCCCGCAGCTGAATCAACTTTAGGAGACGTCCTGGCGCTTGCTGGACTTTCTTGGGCGCCCTGAAGCCTTCTTCACAACAATTGAACCTCTCTCCTTGAAGTTCTTGATGATCCGATAAATGGTTGATTTAGGTGCAATCTTACTAGCAGCAATATCCTTGCCTGTGAAGCCCTTTTTGTGCAAAGCAATGATGACGGCACGTGTTTCCTTGCAGGTAACCATGGTTAACAGAGGAAGAACAATGATTTCAAGCACCACCCTCCTTTTAAAGCTTCCAGTCTGTTATTCTAACTCAACAGCCTTGTCCTCATCAACACTCTCACCTGTGTTAACGAGAGAATCACTGACATGATGGCAGCTGGTCCTTTTGCGGCAGGGCTGAAATGCAGTGGGAATGTTTTTTTGGGATTAAGTTCATTTTCATGGCAAAGAGGGATTTAGCAATTAATTGCAATTCATCTGATCATTCTTCATGACATTCTGGAGTATATGCAAATTGCCATCATCAAAACTGAGGCAGCAGACTTTGTGAAAATTAGTATTTGTGTCATTCTCAAAACTTTTGACCACGACTGTACATATGAGATGAGTAAAGCAATATGTAAACATTATTAAAGTGACTAGTGTTCCATTATTAAAGTGGCCAGTGATTCTGTGTATATAGGGCAGCAGCCTCTAAGGTGCAGGGTTGAGTAACCGGGTGGTAGCCGGCTAGTGATGGCTATTTAGCAGTCTGATGGCCTTGAGATAGAAGCTGTTTTTTAGTCTCTCGGTCCCAGCTTTGATGCACCTGTACTGACCTCGCCTTCTGGATGATAGCGGGGTGAACAGGCCCTAGCTCGGGTGGTTGATGTCCTTGATGATCTTTTTGGCCTTCCTGTGACATCCGGTGCTGTAGGTGTCCTGGAGGGCAGGCAGTGTGCCCTCGGTGATGCACCACCATCTGGAGAGCCCTGCGGTTGCCGTACCAGGCGGTGATACAGCCCGACAGGATGAGCAATTCCACTGCTACGCAGACGACACACAGGTGTACATTAAAACGAATCTGCTCTGTCAACCTTGTCCAACTGTCTGAAAGAGGTTAAATCTTGGATGCAGAACTTCCTTCAACTCAACAGCAGCAAGACAGAGGCAATGCTGATAGGCACCCCCCAGCAGATCACCAACTCCTGCAGCATCCACCCTGCTATAGACGGCCACATCGTTCCCTTCTCAGTCATCACCAACCTGGGTGTGAAATTCAACCCTGCTCTCTCCTTCAATGCCCACATTAGTCTGTAAAATGTCATTCTTTCAGCTGAAGAACATCTCCCGCCTAAGACCCTCTCTCACCACTTCTGACGCAGAAATTCTTATCCATGCATTAGTTTTCTCCAGAATTGATTATGGGAATGCAGTACTTGGGGGCCTGCCTGCGAACTCCATTCATCGGCTGGGTGTAGCCTAGAGGTTAAGAGGTTGGGCCCGTAACCGAAAGGTTGCTGGGTCGAATCCCCGAGTTGACTAGGTGAAATCTGCCGATGTGCCCTTGAGCAAGGCACTTAACCCTAAATGACAAAAAAATACTATAAAAAATAAATAAATTACAGCTCATTCAAAACAGTGCTGCAAGGATTTTGACACAAACAAAAAAGTCTGCCCACATCACCCCCATCCTTGCTGACCTCCATTGGCTACCTGTCCCTCAAATAATTGACTTTAAAATTCTCCTCCTGGTCTACAAAGCCCTAAAAGGCATCGGACCTGCCTACCTGTCAGACCTTCTCTCCCCCTATGAATCTTCACGCAACCTACGGTCAAGCTACGCCGAACAATTTCATGCACCCAGGACCTGGCTCTGTTGGGGGACTGTGCCTTTTCCTCTCACGCACCACACCTTAGGAACTTCCTTCCTGACAATCTCAGGGCTGTTCAGACTGTTGGCTGGCCTATCATTCCACCTAGTCTTTGATTGTTGCTTTTATGTTATGGTTATATACAGTACAAATCAAAAGTTTGGACACCTACTCATTCAAGGGTTTTTCTTAATTTTTACAATTTTCTACATTGTAGAATAATAGGGAAGACATCATGTAGTAACCAAAAAAGTGTTAAACAAATCAAAATATATTTTGGATTTTAGATTCTTCAAAGGAGCCACCCTTTGCCTTGATGACAGCTTTGCACACTCTTGGCATTCTCTCAACCAGATTCATGAGGAATGGTTTTCTAACAGTCTTGAAGGAGTTCCCACATATGCTGAGCACTTGTTGGCTGCTTTTCCTTCACTCTGCAGTCCAACTCATCCCAAACCATCTCAATTGGGTTGAGATCGGGTGCTTGTGTAGGCCAGGTCATCTGATGCAGCACTCCATCACTCTCCTTCTTGGTCAAATAGCCCTTACACAGCCTGGAGGTGTGTTTTGGGTCATTGTCCTGTTGAAAAACAAATGATAGTCCCACTAAGCGCAAACCAGATGGGATGGCGTATCGCTGCAGAATGCTGTGGTAGCCATGCTGGTTAAGTGTGCCTTGAATTCTAAATAAATCACAGACAGTGTCAACAGCAAAGCAACCCCACACCATCACACCTCCTCCATGCTTCACAGTGGGAACCACACATGCAGAGATCATCCGTTCACCTACTAGGTGTCTCACAAAGGCACGGCGGTTGGAACCAAAAATCTCAAATTTGGACTCCAGACCAAAGGACACATTTCCATCGGTCTAATGTCCATTACTCGTGTTTCTTGGCCCAAGCAAGTCTCTTCTTCTTATTGGTGTACTTTAGTAGTGGTTTCTTTGCAACAATTTGACCATGAAGGCCTGATTCACGCAGTCTCCTCTGAACAGTTGATGTTGAGGTGTGTCTGTTACTTGAACTGTATGAAGCATTTATTTGGGCTGCAATTTCTGAGGCTGGTAACTCTAATGAACTTATCCTCTGCAGCAGAGGTAACTCTGGGTCTTCCTTTCCTGTGACAGTCCTCATGAGAGCCAGTTTCATCATAGTGCTTGATGGTTTTTGCGACTGCACTTGAAGAAACTTTCAAAGTTCTTGACATTTTCCGGATTGACTGACCTTCATGTCTTAAAGTAATGATGGACTGTCGTTTCTCTTTGCTTATTTGTGCTGTTCTTGCCATAATATGGACTTGGTCTTTTACCAAATAGGGCTATCTTCTGTATACCCCCCTACCTTGTCACAACACAACTGATTGGCTCAAATTATCTTTTAACAATGCACACCTGTTAATTGAAATGCATTCCAGGTGACTACCTCATGAAGCTGGTTGAGAGAATGCCAAGAGTGTGCAAAGCTGTCATCAAGGCAAAGAGTGGCTACTTTGAAGAATCTCAAATATAACATTTATTTTGATTTGTTGAACACTTGGTTACTACATGATTCCAGATGTGTTATTTCATAGTTTTGATGTCTTCACTATTGTTCTACAATGTAGAAAATCGTAAAAATAAAGAAAAACCCTTGAATGAGTAGGTGTGTCCAAACTTTGGACTGGTACTGTATACTGAACAAAAATGTAAACGCAACATGTAAAGTATTGGTCCAATGTTTCATGAGCTGAAATAAAAGATCCCAGAAATGTTCCATACGCACAAAAAGCTTGTTTTTCTCAAATGTTGTGCACAAATTTGTTTACATCCGTGTTAGTGAGAATTTCTCCTTTGCCAAGATAATCCAGCCACCTGACAGGTGTGGCATATCAAGAAGCTGATTAAACAGCGTTATCATTACACAGGTGCACCTTGTGCTGGGGACAATGAAAGGCCACTCTAAAATGTGCAGTTTTGTCACACAACACAATGTAGAATGTAATGTTCATTTCTCTACCATAAGCCGCCTCCAACGTCGTTTTAAAGAATTTGGCAGTACGTACAACCGGCCTCACAACCGCAGACCACGTGTAACCACGCCAGCCCAGGACCTCCACATCCGTCTTCTTCACCTGTGGGATCATCTGAGACCAGCCACCCGGACAGCTGAAGAAACTGAGGAGTATTTCTGTCTGTAATAAAGCCCTTTTGTGGGGAAAAACTCATTCTGATTGGCAGTCCTGGCTGTGGGTGGGCCTGGCTCCCAAGTGCGCCTCTGCCCAGTCATGTGAAATCCATAGATTAGATTCTAATGAATTTATTTCAATTGACTGATTTCCTCATATGAACTGTAACTCACTGAAATCGTTGAAATTGTTCCATGTTGCATTCATATTTTTGTTTAGTATATATTTATTTTGTTTTTTAAAACCTATTTTTCTATTTAAATTGTTATTTTCTGCACTTTGAGATTATTTTTGGATAATGAAAAGCACTTTAGAAATGTAATAAATCATTATTGTTATTTACCAAATCAGTGGCAGGGTAAATGTAACCTAGTAGATCATGTTAAGGTAACTGTGGTACAGTGCAGAACAGGGTGATAGACCAATATTTGCTTTGCGTGCATGATAAAGTACACAGTATTTAAAGAAATAACAGACCAAAGCCCAGTTTAAAGTCAGGTTCTTCATGTTCAATCGTTCTGTGTGTTATCCTGTGTGAGACTGTGGCCATGCTAGCGGTGAATGAATACAATTGACCGTTTTTTTCTCTCTGTTTGACCATATTGCGCTGTGGTCCAAATGAAGACTGAAGACCTTGGGTTGTATGACTCTGGATGATCTAGCCCAGTTTGACAGCCAGTTGCAGCTCTCTCTTGCTGCGTGGGGATACTTTTACGAAGACTACATCAAGCTGTCCACGGGCGTCAAGGTTCTCCAGGCCTCTAGGGGGAGCCGCGACCAGGACTACGAGATCCAACTGGTGCACAGTCTTGCTGAAAGGCGCCTGAAGGAGAAGTGGTCTATCGGTGAGTGCAAGGCATCTGCCATGGATTAAGAGTGATTTCAGTCACTGGCTGTAGAAGATATTGATGCACTACAAGTAGGGCTGTGACTGGCGGCCATTGCGAGTGTACCCATAGGAGCAAAGCAGGAAGTAAAAGCACGAAGTAAAAGCAGGAAGTGTACCCTTCAATATGTGCTACACATTTACATGTTTAGTCATTTAGCAGACACTCTTCAGTTAACATAATTTGAATGAACAGTCTATATTACCATGGAAATTAGTGCATCACAATATCAGGTACCCATAACATCTCCAGTGCATTTGCCAAAGTTAGTTCCAAGCCCGTTATATTCATTCTATTTCTATGTGTGTTGCTGCTGCATTAAAGACTCATTTGTTTCTTATTTCAGCAAGGAGCAACAACGTGTCATCAACTTTGTTAATATTGATGGGGGGGGGGGGAATTGGTACCGTTACATATCGGGATATTATTTTTGACAATATATTGTAACGTCGTCGAGACACAATATCGCAATATAATGTTTGTGCTAGTTGGCTGCACCTGCACCAACATTCCAGTATTTTTCCTTCATAGCTTGTTCCCAATCTTTTTAAATAAGCAGCAAATTTGTTTTCAGCACTTTTATTTCCATGACTGATCAAAACTAGTTTCTCATGGCTCTCTCTTGTCCTTCTGCAACAGACATATGGTGAGCAATATGTTTGGATCATCGATTCGCAATTAAATTCACAATATCGAATCGCAATACATATAGAATTGTAATAATCACAATAAATATCGTATCGGCACCTAAGTATCGTGATAATATCATATCGTGAGGTCCCTGGCAATTCCCAGCCCTAGTTGTTGAGTCCATATTACCGCAGAAACGGACTCAACAGCACGATTGCTTGTCAGTCCTGTCTTCAGTCAGCTGTTCGTTATGACGGTTATTTTATTTTCATGGCGGTCTTCATCCATAACCATCGGTTACACGGTTATATGGTCATTATGCCAGCCCTAATTTCATGTACCTAGTGTTTCACTTTTTTTTATCAAGCAATAGCCACACAGATGAGCAACAGTAGGTCATGCTTTGTAAAGGAGAAGTTGACTGTTACTACAGGGTCATGTTAAGACAGTTAGTGCAACCACATAATGTGAAAGAAGGTGGCCTAGGCCTAGGTTGTTACATTACAATTCTCATGTACCTTTTCCTTACCCTATCCTAATTTACATACTGTAGCACACACTGATTCTTATTGGCTTATACACTCCCAATGAGCAAATAGCTATGCTTCCTATGATAGGTATCTTCTCTGATGCCAAGAATAGCCTAAGTCCTATTTCTGGAAAAGCTTGATTTGCCTTTGTTGTGTGATGCATCGGTGAATACACACGGTGTCCACACACTGCTGTGCTTGGCTAGTGCAGGACAACATGGACCAATTAGACTTTCGGATTAATGTCCAGAATGCAGAGTCCAACATTGGTATGTGTTCTAGTTTTAAAGGTTTATTATCTACAGGTATAACAGAAAGCAAAAGTGAAATATTTGTCAATCCTCCAAGTTGGTCTGCAAGTATGCCTGTGAGAATGAAGGGCGTAGGCAGTGCTCTAAATTAAAACCATTCATTTGTAGCACTGGTGGAGCACAACATAAAATCTAGGAGCACCAGAAAATAATATATATTTTTGAATTGATTGAGATCTAGCATATTGGGTGTATATGAATTCTTGCTCCTTTTGAAGCACATGTAATATTTAAACCTGTAAAGACATTTGTTTATTATAAAAAGCTACAATGTTGATAAAAAAGCTGTTCATTGAAATTAGTCATTTGTGTAATATTAGGTTTCTACATTGTGCAAAAGCACTACCTATTGAAATGCATTACATTGAAAATTCTACAATGTCTCTTTTTAAGTTTGTGAGTGATGACATGCAAGTGATCAGTCATTCATTCATTGCTATGATCATTGATCTTATAAAGAAGCCATCCCTTTTCATTTTTTTCTTTGCCCCCTAATGTTTAGATATACTGATAAAGTAACCAGGTTGTTAGCTAGCAAGCTAATGAGGTAACGTGACTGAACAAGGTGTAAACAAATGCTTGTGAGTGTTTTTGGAATGACCCGCGACATGGTTTATGAACAGGGCCTAAAAACTAACTTTTTGGTCCACCAGCCACTGTGGCAGGTAGATTTAAAAAATCTACCAGCCACTCAGAATTCTTACCAGCCAATACATGAATTGACCCCAATAACACCAAAAGCCAAAAAAAATACTTTTGGATTGGGTTTTATTGTGCCACAAGCATCTGTATAGGCTTGTAGCTTCATACTTTGAATTATTAAAGAGTTCATTCTGGCACTTCAATTAAGTGATTTGTAGAGAATATGGGATTTGAATTCCACAGCAATGGTTAAACCACATCAGGAGACCACTTTTGAGGTCTAGGGAAGAAAATAAAAACTAAAGCGAGGTGTTTGGCTGGCGGTGTTTCTGTACTGCATGCTCAATAGCAGAGTTTGCTCATCATGATATCATATCATTCTGCCAGTTAAGCCTGCTTCCATTTAATTTGAGAAATACAAATCGCTGATGCATTCTGTAATATTCTTTACATTTAGACTTTGGATTGAATGAATCTGCGCTCACCTTTTTCTCTAGGGCACTCAGAAACAACTGCACAGTGAAGCCTATCATTACAACCGTCATTATCTGGGTGATTTATTTTTTTATATATTTTTTCTGGTCGCACTGGTGCTCCCAAAATAAAATGTCAGGTCGCACAGCAAAATATCAAGGAGCATATGCGACCAAAATAGTCGCACTTTAGAGACCTGGGCTTAGGGCACATCAGCTTTGTGTGAAATGTCTGTCAAAAGTCCTGTGCTGTGAAAGTCAAGTAAAGTATGATGTCTGTCTTTTTTCTCTTTCAGCGGGAGCTTTTATATTTGGCTGTACTGTGGCACTGTGCTTTCTGATAAGGGACCTCATGTTTTACGTGATTGGTGAGTGAGTTCCACTGACAGTAGCTGTTTGAAGTAGGGGATGGACGCCTGTCAGCCAGGCCTGGGGCCTAAACTAACCTGTCATTAAAATTATCAGGAGGTACTTGTTGAAAATACTAGTACATATTTGAACTAGTGATACTGTTTGTGTGTCCCAAGACTTCCAGGCTTTACCCATACAATTACTGCTTCTCCACAGCTCATTCAAGGAAATAGACCTTAAAGGGATAGTTCACCCAAATTACAAAATTGGTTTCCTTATCCTGTAAGCAGTCTATGGAGAAGGTATCACGCCAATCCATGCTTTGGGTTAGTTTCCCTGGCACTGTTTCCACATGCTAACGTTTTGGCATTTGTGGCACAAATCCCATTCAAGTCATGGGACCGATATTCACTTTTTTCGCGCATCATGTTCAAAGCATCTATAAGTAACTGTTTGAGCTTCACAATCAATGTTAGATACTTTTGGATGAAAGTGAACGATCCCTTTAAAGCATTCGTTGAAGTAATTTTTCCACATTTGCATTGCAAATGGTCTCTCCACTAATAAGATCAGAGCATGAGACATTAGATCTTCTGAAATGGATCCGTGGCTTTCCCACGCAACCCGATATGCATACATTTATTTTCCTGAAACGAAGACCTGTTCCGAATGGACCTGAGGACAGTCAGACCTGTTCCGAAAAAAAGACTATGGAAAACAGACTCGTGCTGGTTCGGATCCGAGAGACCCGTTCAGATCTGAGAATAGAAAGAAACCTCCAACTCGGCGTTGCCAGCGCCATTAATAAACAAGTGATATTGGCCAAATCATCCACCATTACGTGTCCTTAAAAACTGCCAATAACCAAATACAAAAAAACTAAATGTGTTGTGTTTCGATGTTCAAAACTTTATAGTCTATTGGTTTTATTGGTTTTTACTTTCCTAAAACAATAATTGTCTACCGCACAGTTTAGCTGTCTGAGATTTGAGCGCTAAATGCATCAGGGCATTGCATGCATATAGGCCTACAGGCTTAGGTGTCCACTGTATGATATTCATATAAAAAAATTAAATATTAAGGGAGACAAGCTTAGGCCTAGCTCTAGAGAGACCGATAGAAAGATAGGGTTTTGCCGGCGCCATGTTCCGAACATCGACATGGATTTCTTTATACTTGTCTGATAGGCTACTACTGCTATACAGATATAGGCATACAGGAGGCTAATTTGTTAATTTTCGATCCGAATATGTTTTTGAAAGATAAGCATTATGTTGTTAGCACAGGAGACTGCTGAGAGGAGGACGGCTCATAATGATGGCTGGAATGGAGTAAATGGAATGGTATCAAACACCTGGAAATCATGTGTTTGATGTATTTGATACCATTCCACCCTATTCCGTTCCAGCCATTACCACGAGCCAGTCCTCCCCAATGAAGGTGCCACCATCCTCCTGTGATTGTTAGATTATAGGAGTAACTCTGGTAGGCCTAAAACATTCTTCCTCACCTCAAGTTCAACTGTGGGAGTCAGTTGGAGTACGCACTGCCGTCACAGGCCTGCAGTAGCTAAGCCTAATAATAGCCATACCATACCTTCACAAAAGTTGCTTAACTTAATTAGGGTAATATCAAAAGTAAGTCAAGTCATTGTTTATAGGGAAAATATGAACAGGTTATTATATTGCTGCATTCAATTAAGTTTTGCATTTTGCCCTCTTTGGTTTTTCCTTTCCTTTTCATTTATTTATTTTATATTTTATTTAACTAGGCAAGTCAGTTAAGAACAAATTCTTATTTATAATGATGGCCTACACCGGCCAAACCCGGACAATGCTGCCCTATGGGACTCTCAATCACGGCCGGTTGTGATACAGCCTGGAATCGAACCAGGGGGTCTGTAGTGACACCTCAAGCACTGAGATACAGTGCCTTAGACCGCTGTGCCACTCGGGAGCCCATGGTTTGTGTGCGAGTAGCATAGTAGGCCTTACGGGAATACCGGTAATTCTGTTATATTGCGACAAACAATATTACAGCTGGAACTTAATTTGGCCACCGAAAATGGCTCAACAGAATGAAACGTTCAAAAAAGCTTTGAACAGGCTTATATTGCAGCTATTACCAACAAAGGCGATTGCCTACCGCAGGCCTACTTAACAAATTACAGCAATAGGCTAATGCTATTTATTTTACAACAGGCCTACTTTTAACCTTAAACTAAATACGGATCACAAAATTAAAAAGACAGAACTTAATTTAGCCAACGAAAATGTCTCAACAAAATGAAACAAAACACTTTTTGCATAGGCTATGTAGAGAACTGGTTTAGATTATGAAATAGGCCTACAATAATAATACTAATTATTTACATTAATAATAATGACTAAACAATTGATAATAAATACAAAAATAAATAAATTAAAGGTAGACAATTGCATCAAACCTGACTAGTGAGTTGCACACATTCCATTTGGCCACTCCAACGTTCTTCTCATTCCCCTTGTCGGCTTCTTTTTACTATACTCTTTCTCCTCTAACTTTCGTTTTACTTCAATGAAAAATAGCTTCATCTTCACAATCAACAGTAACCTAGGCCAAGGCTCCTTTTACTCTCTCTCTCTCTCTCTCCTCAGCAGGTGAGGTGAGCAGCTGGAACCAGTTTCAGTCGGACGTAACTATAAGTTTTATTGAGCTGCAATTGGCTGACACAGATAACAAGCTCGCTAATTTCTCATCACACAAACAGTAAATTAACAGAGGACAGGTCCAGTCGGTAAATCAATTTGAATTGCACATACCCGAGACCCGTGCCAATTATATCAGACTCAACCCAGATCCGAGACAAAAGTCAGAATTTAGGACCTGGACCCGCTCGTCAGATCACAGAATTTTGGGTCTGTTGGACCCGTGAAGACCTCTATGAGCCATCCTCAGTATGCTGTGCATTTAATCACATTTGGTGAGTTCAAAGAAGGTGTCTGACTGAATGTCTCCCCCTGGCAGGTGGAATTACTGTTTCCATCATAGCGTTTGGCTTTACCATCAAGTTCCTATGTGAGCTTGCTGCGCGGGTGGTTAGCTTCCTACAGAATGATGACCCTGGGAGGAGGGGCGACCGCAGCATCTACGACTATGTACGGGGGAACTACCTGGACCCGCGCTCCTGCAAGGTGTCCTGGGATTGGAAGGATCCACAGGAAGTGGGCCAGACTATGAGCTTCCGTGTTCAGGTAAGATCCTTTCCTACCTAACTGCTTGAAATCAAACATCTAGGCTACTTCACAGTCATTTCTGGATTTTAAGAGTTAAGTTTCTGTATGAAACTATGATTAGAGCACAACCACCCACCTCAAATATTAAAGGTCCAATGCAGACGTTTTTATCTCAATATCAAATCATTTCTGGGTAACAATGAAGTACCTTACTGTGATTGTTTTAAATTAAAATGGTTAAAAAAAAGAAAAAAAAATGCTTCTTAGCAAAGAGCAATTTCTCAAGCAAGAAATTTGCTAGGACTGTCTGTGAGTGGTCTGAGTGGGGAGGGGAAAACTGAAAACAAGCTGTTATTGGCAGAGAGGTTTGGAGAGGGGTTAAAGTTCTCCCTCACATTTTGGGACTATGTCAACAATGGACTTATGAAACAAATACCAAAATATAGTTTTGGGGTGGAGTTTTCCTTTAAGTTTCAGTCATGCGATATGTTTACTTCTTTGTGAAACTCCAAGGGGGGGTTAGAACTCTCTTTTCTTATGTGTCTATTAACTAATTGGCAAAAACTCCATCCCACCAAAACAATTTCAGGCGGTCTTTTCAAACAGCTCTTACACTAAAAGGACATTATCATAATTTTCACAGTATTATTCCAACCTTATAGTGTAGAAAATATATATAAAACACAGGAAAATCACGTTTTTGATTGCACTGGGCCTTTAAAGAGAATGTGTATGAGGGATACACTTCTTTTTGTTTCTGCGGATTTTAATCAGTAATTCTGTTATTTGTCTTGTCGGTTGGGTTTCTATTGGGGCCATAAAGCACACAATGAAGTTTCAAGTTTCAAAGTTTATTTGTCACGTGGACGGGACACAGCAGGTGTCAAATAGTACAGTGAAATGCTTACTTGCTAGCTTTTTCCCAACAATGCAATATTCAATATCAAGGTGAGAATAGACTGTTGGCACGATGGTGTTCTGGCACAAGTTGTGGTGCTAGAGATCCTGCCATGGTTTGTCATGGTTTGCTCTGACTTTCTACCCCAGCTCTTCTATAAGAACGGCCAGCCCTTCCCTGCCCACCGGCCTGTGGGGTTAAGGGTCAACATCACCCACATAGAGCTGGCCCTAGACATCCCCATCACCCAGGAGGTTCTGCAGGAGCCAGAGTCCAATGTGGTCAAAGTGGCCTTCACTGTCCGCAAGGCCGGACGCTATGAGGTAGCTGTCAAACTGGGAGGACTCAACGTGGCCTACAGCCCTTACTACAAGATATTCAAGCCAGGTAAGGTCATGACCTTTTGGACTGTGTAACTAACCCATCTCAGGACAGGACTGTGCTATATTTGTAAGATAAATGCGAAGCATGGGTGACATGAGGACGTTTAAGTAATGGATATTGATAATTGTGTTTTTGCTTATGATAAAGAACAGAACTTTGACGTTGCCTAGTAAGAATGAATAATGGCCACCCAGACCAGAAATGTTGATACCACTGAATTATAATGCTAATGTTACTTCCAATGTTCTTTCCATTGCTTGTCCTCATAACATGATAATAAGGCAATATCAATATTTTTTTAAATCTGATTGTTTATTAAAATGTTTGGAATTTTTTGTATTATGCTCTACAGCTGTAATGAATACTCAGGGAGAAAAAGGTGTAGATTCACGCGCAGAGCGCGGCAGTTGTTTATTACGCCTTCGCAGAAGGCAGGAATCGTGGTCACAGGCAGGCAATGGTCATACACAGGTAGGCAAACAGGCAGGTGAAACAAAACTAGGGACTGAAGGCTAAAACTGGTTCTCACAAACGAGCTAGGAAAAGGCTTAGTAGAGTCAAAACGAACAATACCTCACAAGGCACAAACAGAAAGAACTGAACTAAATAAGGAGCTAATGAGACCAGGTGAGTAACAAACACAGGTGAAATTAATGAACAAAAATGATAGACAGGGCTACGTTCAAGAACACAAAGAAACAGGGCTACGTACAAGAACACAAGGTGAACTAAGAAAACAAATACAGAACCTTACAACAGCTTTGCTCAATTAGCCTTGATAAGTGTTGAAAACGGTCCCTTAACATGGAAGCAACTTTAACCTTTGTGTAAATTAAGGAGAGCTGATTTTCTCAGTTTTCTCAGGGCCATTGTATGTATTTTACTGGCAAATACTACATACTTTAATTTGAAACATCCCCTCAATGCTCATCTCTTCCCCACATGTTCTGTGTCCATTTCAGGGAGAGTGGACCCGTCCAAAACAAAGATAGCCTACCACTTCTCCACCCTGGTCTTAGTATATGGCCAGCAGCATACCCTGCAGATCGAGCCTCGGGACGAGTATGGCAACCCCACCAGTAACTCCACCTCACTAATAGACGAAGTCAACTACAGCATCCACGTCCACTCGGTAAGAACCCAACATCACGACACGACACAACACTCATACAACAGCATAAATTCATTTGCTTACTGATTTTAGACTGTGAAAGTGGACAATGGGAATCCATTTTGTGTCTTCTTCCTCTCAGCTGGGCACGGTGGATGACGACAGTCTGGAGGAGTACTACAGTAAGTCAGTGTCGTCCAACAAGCAGCTGTGCCAGGTACTGCTGAAGATCACCCTGAGGAAGAAGGGCTGTTTCCGGGTATGCATCTCCTATACCGACCTGCCCCTCAGCAACGGGGAGTTTGACATCATTGTTCTCAGTGGTGAGTAAGGGTCCTATTTTAGGGTACGATTACACAAGCCCAGGTGAAGGAAGAGAGAGTGATAGGATAGTGGATCAAATGGTATTTCACCAACTTGCTACATGTATTTTCAGCCTATCATACTCAAAATGAGATACTCCACAATGTAATATATGTAGAGTCTAGACTTTCGTCTTGGTGTAGTAAAAGTTGTGGTTGTAGAGTTCTCATATCACCCCTTTGTTTCAATTGCTACCCTTCCACCTCCCCCACAGAGAATGAGAAGAACTGTGTGGAGAAGAACGTGTCCACCACAGGGATCAGCATCTACTTTGAGGCGTACCTGTATGGCACAGGGAACTACAGTAACTACAGTAACTCCTCGTGGCAGCTCCCAGCCTCGGCTCTGATGGCCCCTCAGAGACGGCCCTCCATGGGGGACGAGGAGGACGAGCATGACTCCCCTGTAGAGGGCCAGCCGGAGAAGGTCAAGAAACCAAAAAAGGTCTACTGCTACATATCGCCAAAGGTGGGTGAAGAGGGGATAGAAAGGACGTTTTTGACTAGACATACCACATGCTCTACAGCTGGGTGTGTTGCAGACTTCTGTCATTGACTAGACAATTTACTTTTCTGCTACACAGCAACTGTCCGTGAAGGAGTTTTACCTGAAAATTATTCCATGGCGCCTTTTCACCTTTCGAGTTTGCCCAGGGACAAAGGTAGGACAAGCAGCCCTGCTGTGAAACACTGTGTGATGTCCACATAATACTGTCTGACCTTTAGCAGTAGGTTTAATGAGCTTGTGTGTTCACCGTCATCTTTCTGCCCCTCCAGTTCACATACTATGGCCCTGACCCCATTCACAAGTACTTGACTCTTGTGGTGGATGATGGGATCCAGCCGCCAGTGGAGCTGAGCTGTAAAGACAGAAACATCATGGCCGCCACCTTCATCCGTTTCCTGCACAAGAATATCGGTTGGTATCCCTCCTTTTACAATTCAGTAACCCTGGGGTGTACCTGGTTAAAATAATTTTTTGGCCTCTGTAGAAGCATTGAGATTGGATGGTTTGTATGCTGTTGACAGGTGGCTCGGAGACGTTCCAGGACAAGGTGAGCTTCTTCCAGAGGGAGCTCAGACACATCCACTCCAAGAGACCTCGCACCAAGACCTGCCTGAAGATCACACGCCACTGCATCCTGGACTCTGTGAGTGAACCCACCGTGCAACTATTCTCCGAGCCACAGTGAGATTAAGAACTGCTACTGTAGACTCATATGGTGATAATGAGTGTTAAAATGACAACGTTTTAAAATGTCTGTCTCTCCCCAGTCTCTGAAATCCACCCGGAACTTCTCCGCGTCGGACTGGAGTAAGAACTTTGAGGTGGTGTTCCAGGATGAGGAAGGTAAGATCAACACTCAACATACAGCAGATGACAAGGCAGTCAACTGGTGTTGTGTGTGGGGAGGGCTGTTGAATGACTAAGTATGTGTGTTGCGTTGGTCCCTAGCTCTGGACTGGGGAGGGCCGCGAAGGGAGTGGTTTGAGCTCATCTGTAAGACCCTGTTTGATACCACCAATCAGCTGTTTACTCGCTTCAGTGACGACAACCAGGGCCTGGTAAGACCTCCCTACTCACCAGCACAACTAACACAATACGGCTAGGGCCAGTATTCAGTGACCTAGTGCTGGGGTTAGCCAGTAGGATATTGAGGGACTGTGTCTGTCCGTCGTATCTTCTCAGGTCCACCCCAACGCGGAGCGGCCGGTCCATCTGCGTCTGAAGATGTATGAGTTTGCGGGCCGCGTGGTGGGGAAGTGCCTGTACGAGTCAGCCCTGGGCGGGGCCTACAAGCAGCTGGTCCGCGCTCGCTTCACCCGCTCCTTCCTGGCCCAGCTCATCGGACTCAGGATGAACTACAAGGTACGCCCTCCGCCTCAGTCCCACATCCTCTGAGGACCTAGAGATGGAACTCTCTTCCAATGTTTACCTCGATGCTTCGGCTGGTTGGAAAGGCGATCTGTTTATTTCATAGCGTATGAGTTGTATATCGTGGTGTTTGTAGAACACATTAAGATTTCACCCTGCCGCTTTAAGTGGTTAAGTCATCCTTATTGATTCGCCGAGATAGAATGACATGTTTATTTAAAATCCATTTTCCTGTGTTTGCATTTCATTTTCCACGGCAGTACTTTGAGACAGATGATCAGGAGTTCTACAAAACGAAAGTCTGCTTCATCCTAAACAATGATGTCAGTGAAATGGACCTGGTGTTTGCCGAGGAGAAGTACAAGTCAGGACAGCTGGAGAAGGTGACAAGGGAACCTTTCTGTTTGACATGACTTCCCTTATCCACCATGTCATCTCACAGAAAAAAGAAAGCACTAACTAAACAGAATAATGATTTCCTTGGCAGACTGCTTAGTACTCATAGAAAGGCAGTGTAGGGTCTGTATGTGGGTGCGTTGTCAGTCATGTCCTGAGCTCTGTTACTCTGCAGGTGGTGGAGCTGATATCTGGAGGAGCTCAGATTGCTGTCAACAATGAGAACAAGATGCATTATCTGAACCTGCTGGCCCAGTACAGGCTCGCCAGTCAGGTGCGAGACGAGGTGGAGCACTTTCTCAAAGGTAGGGATAAAAACACTGATATAGTATAGGGTCATTTCACATTCACCCCTGTGTCTAATCTGGAATCTCTATGAGGGGATAAGCAACCAAGCTTTTGGCAATTAACTGTTTTGTGAATTGCAGGTTTGAATGAACTTGTTCCAGAGAACCTCCTGGCCATATTTGATGAGAATGAGCTGGAGGTATGTTGAATAAAACTCACAACTGATTTAGTCGCTAATTACATCCCTTATCATACGTTCCAAGCTTACATCCCTTGTCATACGTTCTAAATCTTAGTCCTATGGCCCTGTAATGTCTAAATGTCTGTCTGTCCCCAGCTGTTGATGTGTGGTACGGGGGACATCAATGTCCAGGACTTCAAGGCCCATGCTGTGATCGTAGGAGGGTTGTGGCACTTCAGAGAGAAGGTGTGTGACATCACCTGGTCTGAGCCATAGTAGATGGTGAAAGATACTGCTTTGCTACAGTATTATATGGATGGAGATGTGTTAAATGTGTTAGTGTTGAGCCCTGTGCTGACTGTGTTGTGTTGTGCTAGGTGATGAAGTGGTTCTGGGCCGTGGTGTCTAGCTTCACCCAGGAGGAGTTGGCTCGTCTGCTGCAGTTCACCACAGGCTCCTCCCAGCTGCCCCCTGGGGGCTTCAACACCCTCTGCCCCTCATTCCAGATCATCGCTGCTCCCACACACAGCACCCTGCCCACCGCACACACCTGGTGAGTGGACGGGCATGCACGCACCCTCACAAACACACACACACACTCAGACATGTACCGTGTGTGTGTGTGTATATATATATATATATATATATATATACATATATATATATATAATATACATATATACACAGTGGGGAGAACAAGAATTTGATACACTGCCGATTTTGCAGGTTTTCCTACTTACAAAGCATGTAGAGGTCTGTAATTTCTATCATAGGTACACTTCAACTGTGAGAGATGGAATCTAAAACAAAAATCCAGAAAATCACATTGTATGATTTTTAAGTAATGAATTTGCATTTTATTGCAAGACATAAGTATTTGATCACCTACCAACCAGTAAGAATTCCGGCTCTCACAGACCTGTTAGCTTTTCTTTAAGAAGCCCTCCTGTTCTCCACTCATTACCTGTATTAACTGCACCTGTTTGAACTCGTTACCTGTATAAAAGACACCTGTCCACACACTCAATCAAACAGACTCCAACCTCTCCACAATGGCCAAGACCAGAGAGCTGTGTAAGGACATCAGGGATACAATTGTAGACCTGCACAAGGCTGGGATGGGCTACAGGACAATAGGCAAGCAGCTTGGTGAGAAGGCAACAACTGTTGGCGCAATTATTAGAAAATGGAAGAAGTTCAAGATGACGGTCAATCACCCTCGGTCTGGGGCTCCATGCAAGATCTCACCTCGTGGGGCATCAATGATCATGAGGAAGGTGAGGGATCAGCCCAGAACTACACGGCAGGACCTGGTCAATGACCTGAAGAGAGCTGGGACCACAGTCTCAAAGAAAACCATTAGTAACACACTACGCCGTCATGGATTAAAATCCTGCAGCGCACGCAAGGTCCCCCTGCTCAAGCCAGCGCATGTCCAGGCCCGTCTGAAGTTTGCCAATGACCATCTGGATGATCCAGAGGAGGAATGGGAGAAGGTCATGTGGTCTGATGAGACAAAAATATAGCTTTTTGGTCTAAACTCCACTTGCCGTGTTTGGAGGAAGAAGAAGGATGAGTACAACCCCAAGAACACCATCCTAACCGTGAAGCATGGAGGTGGAAACATCATTCTTTGGGGATGCTTTTCTGCAAAGGGGACAGGACGACTGCACCGTATTGAGGGGAGGATGGATGGGGCCATGTATCGCGAGATCTTGGCCAACAACCTCCTTCCCTCAGTAAGAGCATTGAAGATGGGTCGTGGCTGGGTCTTCCAGCATGACAAAGACCCGAAACACACAGCCAGGGCAACTAAGGAGTGGCTCCGTAAGAAGCATCTCAAGGTCCTGGAGTGGCCTAGCCAGTCTCCAGACCTGAACCCAATAGAAAATCTTTGGAGGGAGCTGAAAGTCCGTATTGCCCAGTGACAGCCCCGAAACCTGAAGGATCTGGAGAAGGTCTGTATGGAGGAGTGGGCCAAAATCCCTGCTGCAGTGTGTGCAAACCTGGTCAAGACCTACAGGAAACATATGATCTCTGTAATTGCAAACAAAGGTTTCTGTACCAAATATTAAGTTCTGCTTTTCTGATGTATCAAATACTTATGTCATGCAATAAAATGCAAATTAATTACTTAAAAATCATACAATGTGATTTTCTGGATTTTTGTTTTAGATTCCGTCTCTCACAGTTGAAGTGTACCTATGATACAAAATTACAGACCTCTACATGCTTTGTAAGTAGGAAAACCTGCAAAATCGGCAGTGTATCAAATACTTGTTCTCCCCACTGTATATAATGGTGTTTATAGACAGTATGGACAGTATATGAATAGAAAAGGTGTGTACAGCAGTAGTTATGTAGGATGAGCCTTGACTAGAATACAGTGCCCTTGACTTTTTCCACATTTTGTTGCGTTACAGCCTTATTCTAAAATGACAAAGCAAAAATTTTTAGAAATGTTTGCAAATGTATATTTACAAAATAACAGAAATATCACATTTACATAATTATTCAGACCCTTGTTCTCCCCACTGTGGGTGTGTGTGTATGTATATATACACACATGCACTCTTACACATTCATATACATGTGCTGTACAGTCAGTTTCAGTTATTTACTTGAGTAATGCACAGACACACTACACATCTTGTAAATACACACATACACAACTGTCAAATGACTGACTATCTGTGAATTATTCTCTCTCTAGTTTTAACCAGCTGTGCCTCCCCACCTATGATTCCTATGAAGAGCTGCACAAGATGCTGAAGCTGGCCATCAGTGAGGGCAGTGAGGGCTTTGGCATGCTCTGAGTGGCCCTCTCCCTGGAGCTCACCCCCAGACCCCAGACTCTGGTCACACTGTGGTCCTGCTTATACAGCAGGGGCGGTACCAACGCCACCAGCGCCAACCAGGCCCCTGGTATGCCCGTTACCCTCTCATTCCGCTTTGGACAATGGACATCCCTCCTCGACTCACACGGACTACCCATGATCCTCTTTCAGTGGTAGAGAGCATTAAAGGAAGTCCACAGGATGTCCCAGAAGGCTCTGGGAAGTCCTCAGGTGTCTGCACTATGTGTATATACTGTACATCATTTGCTTTTCTAATGAAGAAAATGACCTAGTGTTTAAAAAGGCTTGGTAGTTTTATTCTAGATGTTAGAGTTGCTTAATTGATATGTTTGAGACAGAATATAGAGCTAGTTAAAGAGCCTAATGAGCTTGGTGTTGTATTGGTTTTCTGATTTCTTTTTTGTGGAAAACATCGGAGGAACATTTAAATGCAAAAGCATCCTACACAAAGTGTGGAGAAGCTGCGCACCCCATAGCACTTTGGCCTTAACTGATCAGGGAAGGATGTGTGTGTATATAGTACGAAAAGTATGAAAATGTATGTACTCTCTACTTTAAGTCGCTCTGCTAAATGATTAAAATGTCAAATGTATATACAGTATATATTATATCACTCTTTAATTTCAATATGTGTACATGTTAATAGGTTGTCATGTTATGGCATCAGTTCAGATATATTTTCAAACAGAAGGGACTTGATAGATCTTTGAGGTCACATGTTTTTGTTGGTGGGAGCTGATTCATTTATTTTTTGTTATTACCGTTTCACATCAACAATTGACTTCAATGTACAAATACATGGGTTTTCAAAGGAACAAACAAATTACTTCCCCATGTCAGTGTGTCTGTTTTAACTTATGGACTGATTTGTGTTGTTTTCACCCATACTGTTGATGACAATGTTATTTGTCTTGAGCCGTAATAGTTTTTGTTTTAAAACCTGCCTTATTCAAGCACTTTGCCTCTGACTTAATCTGGAGAACTGTGTAGTTAAAAGAAGCCTAGACTAGCAAAAGTATAACAACAGTGATATTACTATAATATTACGTTTGGTCGTTTTTGCAGTGGAAGTTTGAGATGTGAGTATCAATTGGATGTTAACATGTGAAGAGACCGGAACTCAAGGTTATCTTGATATCTGTCATGTCTTGTGCTCTTGACTGTTGGTTTTCATGCACTGCCTTGTATGGGTTTACCTCCGGATCTCCAATCTCATCTATGCATCCCCTGTGTGTGTGTGTGTGTGTGTCCCTGTCCATGATTGTGTGATCTCAGCTGCCTCCTCTCTAGCTACTACCCATAGTGTGCTGTCTCTGACTCCTACAACTCGGTAGATAAGCCACCTGAGTAAGGGATACTGAGACAGGATACACAAGATGAATATTTCTTACCTGTGTTGACTTATTTCTATTGACTTATTTCTACATATTTATTTCCAGATGTATCTAATGATCAAACCATGAGCCTACAGGATGGTCATTTTATCTCTGCAGCGAACATTTGTACATTTGACAAGATGCAGCATATTGTGGTGTGCAGCTAACCACATTATGTACAGGCTATTTAGTAAAGCCAACATCTAGAACATACGCACAGTAGCCTAAAGCAGACACATTCTTATGCAATATTATTGTATTCTTTGTATTCACCTGAATCATCAGCCTCACAACGTACCACAAATGCAAACCCATGGCGGGTTACATTATTGTTATTCAACTCTCCTAGCATTTGCAGTTTCAATGTGACGCAGCCACTAAGAGATTTTCCACTTAATTGAACATCACCTCACTCTTGTTGAACAGGATACACACTTATCACTAACCAAGCTCCTCGGACTAACAGAATAACTTGTACCTTATTGGGAACCTCTTAAGGGTGCTGGGTTTTTGTTATTGCTGCTGGGGTTTACTGCACATACCTCCCAGTCACTCAGAATTTCTCATTTGAGACATAGTGAGCTTTCATCCTCCACTAGGATTTGCCTAGGGCAAAGTCTTAAAGGGATACTTCTGGATTTTGGCAATGAGGCCCTTTATCTACTCCCCCGGAGTCAGATGAACTCGTGGATACCATTTTTATGTCTCTGTCTCCAGTATGAAGGAAGTTATATGTAGTTTTGCGAGCCAATGCTAACTAGCGTTAGCGCAATGGCTGGAAGTCTATGGGTATGGAAATGTTAGACTAGGTAGATGACCTAGTCAACTAAAATGGTAGCTAGCTGCTATCCTTATGGAGGCACAAGTCAGACACAAGACTTGACAGAAGTAGCATTGCGTTGTACTATAGGAATCAAGATATTAAATATTCTTATACAAACCATGTGCAATTACAAAAGTGTAAATAGTTGAAATGCAGTTCAGATAAAGACATGTTATGAAGATGTGAAAAGAAACAGCGGCTGTGATTTTAAAGTTAATTGTTTAGAAAGTGTTTCACTCTCATAAGCAGGTCCTGCTCTCAGTGTTTAGGGTTCTAGTTCGAGTGATTGGGAAATCTCAGTGGTTATTGTGGTTTGGTTTTGGATTTGTATCTATGTAAATATTGTGAAATAGTTGTTTATAGCTTGGAGGTGTGTAAAATAAATGACAAAACTGTTGGCCATCACTGATGAATGTCAGGGTTCCTGCTCTGCAGTCCCTTTGTTGTTAATGGGATTAAAAAGTGATGGAAATTATTACATCTTGTGTCAATTTGTCTTTGTTTAAGGAGGCTGAGATTTGCTGGACTGTTTCAAGGATTCTGAGCTGGCCACAAGCAGAAGACCCCATGAAACCTACATGGACAACATCTTCAGAGACACTGGTCTCAGAACAGAGGACCTACTAGCTGTCATGAACAACAGAGAGCTTTGGCATTCCATCATCCGACACATTGCACCACCATAAGCAAGCAATTAATTTATTCCATTATGGTACGGCAAAAAATCAAGTATGCTTAGTTACATTGGTAAAATAATGTTCACCTTCATTGCAAATACCATTAATAAAAAAAAGGAGGAAATTATGCTGAAACAGAACATTTGATTTGAACAATTTTGGGGTGTAATTTAGTGATCAAAGCATTGAATTGATTCATTATTACCGTTCAAAAAGAAGTCAGGGTCCTGGACCAGTCCATGGCCCCCTGACAAGTGACTCCAAACTTTGAGGAGAGCCCTGGGTTTGACCCTCACTGATGGGGAGTGTGACTGATGCTGTGAGTATGAGAATCCGGACTAGGCCCAGGCCCCAGCTCTCTGACTGCTGACTGAGAAGAGTGTGGTGGAACTACGTGACCGTAATGAATGCAGCAGCCTGGCTGGCTAGTGGATACAGCATGTGCCCTTTCACTGCAGCCCGGACACACCAACCATCCTCTCCACAGCCCAAAACGAAAGATGATTCCCACAGACCGACAAGGTCTTGCTCCTTCCAGGATGATCTCTATTTTATGTGACATCCCAGCGGTCTGTCCTTGGACACAATCAAAGGAATGGAGAGGAGAGGAGCGTCCATCCGGCAGCCTCACCATAGCCTGGCCTCAATTATCCCATCTGCTGTGGTACAGTGACAGGCCAGTCTCCAGGTGCAGAAATGGGAAGGCCTCATGTTGCATTAGCATTTCATTAAGATTACATGAAGAGCATAACCAGATGCTGCCTGACTGCAACATGCTGGGAATATCTGGAGGCCTGCTCTTCATCTGGACTGGAGCTTCTAGATTGCTACCAGACTGCTTTCACTTCCCTCCTACTATTGATGTATTTATTCTGCCTGTCATTTGTGTGACTTGCATGTTATGTTTAGCTAGTGCATAACAAAATTACCTTCGTAACGATGGACACACTTTCTTTCATCATTGCCTTGGCCTGTAGGCCTTTAAAGTAGTATGCCATCTCATCACTTTAGTTATTTTATGTATTTTTGCTTTGTATTTGTGGAACATACTTCAAAATGTTCTTAAATGTTATGTGTTGGTGCTTCTAGACTAGGACAATTCAGAAAACTGATTGAGGACCTTATTATTGATGATGAATGTGTTTGTTTTTTAGGGCGCCAGGTAGCCTAGCGGTTAAGAGCGTTGGGCCAGTAACCGAAAGGTCGCTGGATTGAATCCCAGAGCTGACTAGGTGAGAAATCTGCCGATGTACCCTTGAGCAAGGCACTTAATCCTAATTGCTCTGGATAAGAGCGTCTGCTAAATTATACAAATATATGACTGTGTTTTCTTGTATTTCTATATGTGTATTTCTGTAATTTCTGTAATTCAGGGCTCGTCTGTAAAAGACACCTTGGTCTCAGTACAACTCCCTGATAAAATAAAGGAGAAAAAAAACATGAATCACATGATTCCAGCAGAATGCGATGTTCTCTCAGACACAAGGGGGCAGTATTTCTACATGAGAAGCAAAGCCGCAACGGTATGGCAAGACTCCAGTCAGCACGGTTGACAAGCTTAGCGCTAACACTAGAGACAGATCCCACTAACAGTAACTGATGAGGGGCTTTCCTCTCTTCAACTGGCCACCACGCTTGTCCTGATATCTCCAGTCCTGCACAGTCAGGAAGAGTTAGAGAGTCCAATGATAAATGTTCCAGATTACAGATGTCTGATTTATTTATCTAGTGAGTTGAAACACTTCAGCGAACCAGCCTACTCACACCTCATTACTGTTTAGAAATAAATACGCCTCATTCAATAAGACTGGTTTCCCATCAGTTAAAGACTTAATGAAGTCAACCAATTGAGTGTTCTACTGTGCACTGGAATGTGATACTTGAGTATACAGAAGTGATAACTGGTGCCAAAAAAAGGCTTCAATGTAAACTTGTGGCTGTAAAATGGCAGGTCAAGACAACCATCACTGTGCATGGACTACATATATCCAGTGTAGAGCCAAGCCTAGCATTTAATGGTTTTGTTGTAGGAATGGGGAGTACTCCAAACATGCAGAACCCCTGGCCCTCCACACTACATCCTCATGCTCACAAACTGCCTGCCTCCCACCATTGTTGTGTAAACCCTATCAGGGCTAGGCCAAGGCATCTTGAAGCACTCGGAAACAGGGGTTCAGTCCCTCAGTCTTGGCATGCACCTGGGTATTTGCATAATGACCCCTTTCAAATTCCCTGCAGGAATGCTCGATACATAAGGACCACAAATCAAGATGGCTGCCTCTGGCCCGCCATTGAGATATTGTACCATATTTGTTTGTTTGTTGATTTGTTAACCCCCTTCCATGAGCAATATTGTGTGAAGATAATCTATGATGTATACAATGAATTCACAGAATCATCTTTATCAATAGGAATCCTTTGGGACATCATTTTCTGACAATGTTCCAATTCTTAGGCAATGGCCTAAACAAGAGCAGTTGTGGGTGGTTAGCTCAAACCATTGGATTGCCTTGAAAGGGTTGAGCTCCATTTCCTCTCCCGACTTAACCATTCTATTCCTGAGGGGAAGTCTATCTGTTTGTCTGCTAGCCCATTATAGGATAATTGTGCACAGACAGTATAGTGCTGTGTGGGACAGAGAGTAGAAGTGTGGCCCGGCAGTCTTAATGTCTGAAGAACATGACTGATGTTTCCTCCTGCTGGACAGCCTCAGGGCCTTCTGCTCCCCATTCCAACATGGGCTACTGATTACCTGATTG